AAACAGAAAGAAATACTGAAGAACTATAATCCATTAATGAAAATCTCCAGGGTTCAACAATCATGAAAGAGTCATTAAGGAGAAAGAAATAAGAAGCTTTAATAAATTTCAGTTATTTTTAAAAAAAGATTATTTTAATTGTGTTTTCAAAGCCTGCTATATTCTCTGCTCAGGTTACTGAGCCTTTTTTCTTGTAGGCTGCAACAGATGTATTACCTTTAGTTTCAATGAAAGCTGAGATTTTACTGTACTGACATGAAGAGAACTGTGATGGGAGGAGAACCCCCCCTTGCACACACACATCCAATTAAGCTTCAGACTAGCAACACACACTCTTTGTAAAATGAAAAGCGGTTGTCCTGCATTCCTCACCCTTAAGATCAATTAACATCCCTGCAACCTGAGCTAGAGATATTGGATGCCCTTGTCACCGCATTACTCATAAAACCATTAACTCTTTTACAACCCCAATCAAATCTATGAGACTGCCACAAACAAGAACTATTTGTACCAATTTTATGAAATGAAGAAAATCTTGACAAGAGCGATGCTGCTACTGACTGTAGAACTGGAAACCATAGGCAGATCACTTTCCTCAGTGTTCTGTCTTGGTGCTACTTCACTAGCAAGTCTTTTCTATCAATATTTAATACAGCTTTAAAGCCACCCAGGGTATGAAAAGTAAAGACATTTGTTAGTAAGGTTTTGGCAGCTGAGGGAGTTTCTGCACCATAACATTGAGTCATGTTGGAAAATAACACACAAGTGGAGATTTTCTGCTGACATCATCCCAAATAGCGCATCATATATCGAATATTCATTTTAACTAATTATTCCCAGATTTCAGCCAACAAAGAGGACATTTTCAACCCTGAGTTAGATAAAACTTTCAGTTTTTACTTTCTGCCTTATTTGGTAGGCTTGGAGTCAAATACCTTACCTTCACTTTCCAGTGATGACACAGTGACAGGGTTGGGAGAGTTAATGGAAAGAAGGGAAAGACCATTACATGCATTTTGGAGGCAAATTTGAAGAGATTGATTGCCCTAAAACCGAGGAATCATATGTTTCTCACACAGGAATTGTGGAAGAATTGCTAAAAGGCATCATAGAGAAAAACGATACATGACTTTACTGCAAATACACCAGGGCAGACTACTTCGTCGAAAACATCAATGCTCTTGTCAAACAACTAGGCCTTGACAAATAACAGAAGAAAATTATTTGTGGAACTCTTAGTGACTAAATGGAACATTTTTAAAAAAAATGAGAACTTTCGGGTTAGTGGGAGTTTACTAGTAGAATTCTTTAAACGTTTTTTGGGATCACTAATATTTTCATTGCATCAACACAGAAAAAACCTTTATGACAATGGACTGTGCTGCTGACATCACGTTGTGAGGAATAATGTAAGAAGAACCATCAGTGAAAACAAGAGTATCTTTCAGGAGGAGATGGATGACAGAAACCAGAAGTAACATAAGACAAAATTTAACAGTAAGTGTTCACAGCAATGCTCTCTGGACTTGCGTGGGCAAATCACGAGAACTACATTTTGTGCAACCTGTGAGGTTCCAAAATCATTTGGAAGAAACCCAAACCAAGTGTTTTGCTAAATGAAAGAATTAGTGCTGAAATCAGAATGGGGTGGGCAAAGAAGAGGTTTGTGTTTGTTTTGGTTAGAGGTGACCAAATCAGTCTGGGTCCCAAAAACACCTTCCTGCTCAAGTCTAGGCTGAAACTCAAAGGTCTTGGCAAAACACCCTGGCTTCAGTGAAAGGACATATGTAATTTTTGGGAGTGTTCCAGGCAGCTCTGCTACACAGCATTCCTGACGCTCGCTATCAGTCTTGGTATAATATAACAAGAGCCTTTTTCATGCAAAGCCTCATTAAAAGGGTTAGAATAGCAGTGCCGTAATGCTGTGCAAGATAAATACAATGCTTTTTAAAGCATTTTATGCAAAAAGCACCAACTTGTCTGTGTAGGTTGGGTAGCAATTTCATCACCCATTGCAAAGTCTCACTGAAATGAGTACGATGACTGCACTAATAATGTCAATATGTGTTTGTGTACCACAATTATTATTTTAGTTATTCTAGCATTATATAGCACAGAAAGAGGCTCTTCAGAAAGCTAGGAGAGCTGATGTTGCACATCAAAACAAGGATATCCATTTAAGTGAACCCATGTGGATGAAATGTCCAAGCAAAAAGACAGCTGAGGTATTTTTTTTTTTTTACCTAGGGAGCTTTAGGCACTACTGCACCTTCCTTTGATCCAGCTGTGTCCCAATATCACAGCTAATGTGGTCTTCCATGACAAAGCTTCTGAGGAGTAAAGACAGTATACCTAACAGCAGAAGCTATGATATCCCAATATCCAGGCACAGCTGGGCTGAGGACAAACTAAAGTCACCTTTTTTCCTGTGATTCCCAGAGGCCTATTCTATTTTTAACTTTGTTTTCTTTCTGCTTGATCCTTTCATTATTCTAATGTAGTTTCTGCATTTTTTCCATTAATTCTGCCTCCATACAACACTCTAAGCAATACTACGAATGAGGGGAAGACAGAGTAACAAGCTCATGAAGTGATTGGCTCAGACAATCTTCAAATGCACTGGCTAATTGGATATATAACTCAAACGACAACAGAAGAGGGATGGATAACAATGCAGGGAGAGGAAACTAAATTTAAAATAGCTCCAACTCCATTCAGTTGAATGAACAACAGGTCTTTGATTTCATTAGCTCTGATACTCTGAAAATCATACCAATAAATATGATCTTATTCTCAAGCATGCATTCTTCTAAGCATACAAATGCAGAAGGAATGGCCACTAAAAGCTCTGCAATTACTCTAAATTTGCACTGTAAACAGCATAACAGCAGACCATAATTAAATTAGATATGAAACATTTCATTGTCCCCATTACATGAAATTCAATTTCAGTAGAGTGTTTATAGTAGCACCAGCAACATCTTTACACAATTTGTATGGGGCTTTAAGTAATGACCACACCTATTCAACCAAAATAGTGAGATGCATAGCACATGGAAAGACCAGACAAAAGAAACATTTGAGAAGCAATTGTGTTTGACATGGTGCCTCTATAAAAACTCCACAGCTTGAATCTCCTGTGACATGTTTGGTTTAAGGAACCGTGAGAAGTTGCAAACTCATTGTGCATCCAGCCCCTGTGCACTATTTTGACCATTCAATCGGTGTGTTGTGATCACCGTTGTAAAACACCACTTCAAAATCTGACACAGATTCATCCAGTCCAAAATACTTATGACCCCCACAGGCTGAAGTGTGTACTAACCTTTTATTATCTAATTAGAATAAAAGGATAAACCTATGAGATGTTTGGCTCAATCTTAGTGCCTTACATTAAGTCAAGAGTTAATAATTTATTAATCAGCATTCAAGAAATCCTTATTATATGTGACAGTTTTTGGAGGGGTTTTGCTTTTAAATAAGAAAGACCTTCAACAACAACAATCAGCTGGGGAAATACTTTGACATACTGCTTTGACATGTTCCTTTGATTTACATATTAAAGCAAGAAAAAGTTGTATCATTTTCACATTTTTCAGTGCTGAGCAGATTACAAATTTTGAGTTCTTGTGTAGATGACTTTATGTCAACATGTTACCTGTTATGACTATATTCCCCCGAAAATAGGTCTTTTTTTGTATAAGAACTATGTCTTAACATCATAGATAAACTATAATATTATCAGCATGGTATATTTTCTTTAAAATGGAACGAGATCAAGACTATATTAAGGAGAAACCCAGTAAACAACCAAACATCCTACATTAGTTTACTTCTGGAGATAGGCAAGCATGGTGCACTGGGAGAAAACCAAGAAGAAAATCCCTTGCTTCCTAATTTTTCAGAGGACAGCAGTACTCTGGTGCTGTAAGGCACAATCATATTCATCATTTTGCCTTACAACAAATGTAAGGTTCTTATGATTTATTTCAGCAAAGTGGAAATGAAGCCAAATCATGCAAAAAGATACCGACTGCCACTCACACAGTACAGAAGAGCAAAAAAAGTGCATCAAACTTCAGCTGCTCAACAAAAGGCTCAGCTTCACTCCAAAACTCCCAAACCACCATCTGGAACAGCACAAACCTTTTAAAAAGGTAATTTCTGTGCGTGGCTGGTTCTACTGCCCACACTTCGCCCTGACAGCGCTGCACAAAACCCTGGGGCAGGGGCTGAGTGTGGCTTCCCTGCCACCGTGCCCGTGGGCACCGGCTCCTCCTGGAGAAGGGCACAGGGCAGCTCCGAAGCCCGATGGCTACAGGGGACAAACCCCAAGGAGCTGCAGGGAACAACGCACAGTTTGCACAAGGACTTCGGAGCAGGTGGTTTATTTTGGTTTCAGGTGAGCTGCTGCTGCTGTCACGTGGGCGCAAGTGAACAAAACCCACCCCTTAATTCTTCACAAGTGGTCTTGGACTTGCAGCAAGGGAGCAGCCCACTTCAGTTACTTGCTCCTGAAAAGGCCAGGTCACAGCAGGAGCTCAGAGGACTGACTCTCCCTTGATAACAAACATTAATTAACTCCAACTTACAAACAAGGAATCAATGCCTTTATAGTGCTTTAAAAATATCCACGTGGCCTTTCGAAGGCACTCTACAAGGGCTACCGCCACCCTACTGCTCCTCAACACAAAGTGTTTTAACAAAAGGTTTCCAGCAGTCAGACTCAATAAACTGCACCTGAAATACCACCTGGGTTTGCAGACAGACCCCGCTTACTCTGAGAGTGGCTGTGCCACTTCAGCTGCTTTGTATTGTTCATCAGCAGTCACAGCCAAGTAGAGCCCTAACAGGAACCGAGGTTTTAATACTTGCATGAGGCTCAGATTCTAGCAAAGGAGGAATATTGTCTGTGTTTTGGGGGTTGAGGGTTTTTAAACATCTTAACAGCAGAACATTTATCACAGCCAAAGGAAAATGAGGTTATGCAAAATACTTACTTCGAAAATGCTCTGAGGCATAATAGTAGACGTCCTCATAGCCCTCGTGGTAATCCTCCTCTGGCCGGTACTTTTTGCCTTTTCTTCTTCTTGATCTTCTTATCTGCTTGACGAAGCCCAAGAAGCGCTCCATCTCCTCCCTCAGCAGCACCAGCCCACAGCCCCCTTCGCCCTCTGCTTCACAAAGAGCTGTCCCAGCATGAATTGACCGCAAGCACCCGAGCAAAGCTGCAGCCTCCAATCAGCCACTCCGTACCATTAAAAAAACCCCTCCCTTATCTCAGCTGTGACTAGGAAGCATACTGGTTTTCCTTAGAAAAAAAAAAAAAAAAAAAAAAAAAAAAAAAAAAAAGGAGGGGAGGATAGACTTTATCAAATCTACTGACTGGAATATTTCAACATGAAAACAAAGGAGGAAAATTTTGAAGCAAAAGGAGAAATTCAGGATTTCAAGGAGTTATTAAAGAGGACAAAGTTGAAGAGACCTGCCTGCCAGCAAGGGGAAGCCCAGCACTGAGAGCTCCCTATCCTGTGTCTCCATCATTTGAAGAGGGGCTGGGAGGCGGGGATAGATGTTAGTCAATGGACTGAACCATATCTCAAGGCAAAACGGGTTTTCATTTGCCAGTTAAATACTGCCCTCACATTTACCTGGGCACAGGCTCAGAAGCCCATTTGATTTCATTTGTTGTAAGAAGAGGAAACACACTGATCCGTTTCTGGCACCACATATGCTGGATGAATAAATAGCAAAGTGGTTTAATCCATACACACAGCCCACTCACCGGCAAGTGTGTGCTGAATGTGTTAATTGGAGCAGCAGGGAGAAAGCTCGGCAGCTGTTAAAAAATGACACATATACCCACTGGGCATTAGTGTATTCTAATCACTGCTAGATCTAAACATTAAAAAGCACTCCACAGACAGGTCTCCTATAGAGCTGGCCAGGCTATACGGCAATAGGCAAACAAAAGAAGCGACATCACAAGCATACCACGATGATACTCGTCTAAAATCCCAGCAGAGTTTTAAAAACTTTAAAATTAAGGTACGGCAGACTATCCTTTGCACAGGATGACAGGAATAAAAAGCCTGAAAGGTGCTGGCACTTGTCTCTTGCTGAGTGCCTGAATCCTACACGCATTCCCTAAGATAAGACTGGAATTTCATCTGTGTCTCCGGTGAAGTTTCCCTCCTACACCAGAACAAAAGCAGTGCCTGCTCAAATCCTATCACGTTGACATCTGCCACAGGTTGGTTTTGCTTTTTTTTTTAACCACGCTCCCACGAGCCAAGTGAGGTCTCTAGCCCAGCAGGACCTCTCCTGTCTGCTGGCACAAGTCAGGGATCAATCAGTCACCTCGGTCAAACCACGTGCTGAACACATTCACCTGCACCCATGCTCACAGGAGATACCAATTTGCACCTATGAGCATGAGGAACTCAGAGAGTCTTCCCCATAAAATAGATTTTACAGGATCATCATCTGGAAAATGAAGAGCATGCAGAGGTGGGATTAGTTTCTGGTGATGCAGACATTTCGGTGAGTCATTATTTTGCAAAGAGCAAATGAGGGCAGTGTTTTTAAAAGCGTAAAGAACAAGTAAAGCAAAAGCCAGGATAGCAATTTATCATTGTTTCAACAGAAGTATGCAGGGATTGATCAGAATTGAATTGGGATTTTCTAGTCTTAAAACATGTAAGAGTTATCAGTATAGGTCAACTAGACCTGCTATCTAAGGGTCCTAAAACAAACACACACTGAAAGCAGGCACTGGAACTCTTTTGGGCTTGTTTCAGCTTCCCAGGTATTTTAAAACAATATTGTCACAAAACCACACCCATTTTATCCATAAAAGCTCAAAAACCCTGGATGCTCCTACCAAGCTCCCCAGGGTAATACAGACTCACCCTCCTTGACCTTACCAGCCCCTGCTTTTCCACTGTGAAAATGCAGCCGCTGTTGCTAGCTGATGAACACCCTGAGGGCGCCACCAATATTATTTTTAGTGTAACTTCTGTAAGGAGATTGTGTTTTATTACAAATGTGTTTTTATCACAGAGCTTTCAACTTTCAAAGGGTAAAGACCTTAGAGGAATATTACAGGCATATGACTAAAAATATAAAACCCAATAAAAGTTTTTATATGGATCTTTAAGAATGGATCACTGTATGTTCTGAAGGTTTCAATTCACGTGTCTTTTCTGTGCTCTGCCACCAAGCAGCAAAAACATCACATTAGTATCATGAAACATGAAAACCAAAAACTTAGCCTACAGCAGAAGCAGCACTCTCTCTTTTCAGAGGGAAACGTTGTTTTGACACTACATTTGCTCCTCTAGAGCACTCTCCCTGATGGATGTGCAAAAAGTTATTTGTAGGTGTCAGAAACATCCATCTTGACGACAGAAGTCTTGCAGCCATCACCATTCCCTAAGTTAAATTATAAGGTTCAATTCAAAAAGAGACAGCTACTTTTTAAAAAGGAGAAAACGTAAAACTTTCCTGCTTTCAAACCGTCCTCTAAATGAAAGCTGAAAACTTGAACTGAGCAGACACTTGGCTTTCATCAAGTAAATTTGCCCTTCTCCACCACCCCTGCTGCTGAGCACGCTGTTGCAGCGGGAGCTCCTCCCAGAGACACGGCTTCCCCCGGGCTCAGCACGCCCCAGTGACACTTCGGTCCTTTCCATAGCAAGACCAAGACAGCAAATAAGCAGACATGGGAGCAACCAAACGATCTCAGCCAGCATTGCAAGCACCAGATGTAGTACACCGACTGCCTGACCCTTTTCTGGAGAGAACCGATATAAATATGGGTGAATGTTGAGCTTTAGAGAGGTGCATCACATGACCATATACCCCTAATGTAGTAAAGTAGAAAAAATGGTATTATTGGTCAGTTCTCATGGTAATGGCTCCCACCTGTCCTGTATGTAAAGCATGAAGGCACTGAGGGGGAGCACAAGCACTCCTTGGATAAGCACAGGGGGTTCGAGCTCTGCGGCTCTTCACTGTATCCCACCAACTACTGCCTACAAAGAACAGGCTCCACCTCCCACACCAAAGGTGTAGAAGAAGGTCCACAGTTTCTAACACACATGCTGACAGTCTTGCCATCTTGTAAATTATACACCTGTTTCCTTTTGCATGAATGCAAACAGCAGAGACAATTTTTTTTTTTTTAAATAAACCTAGAACAAGCTGAGCTTTCAATAGGATTTCTCCTGCCCTGAAATATTCTCGTATTCAGGCCAATTTGAAGAGAAGGAAATACCTTAAATGAGAGCAATGTTATTATATATCAATAGGAGTCAGAGTACTAAGTATTTCACTATACTATAAAGATTTTCAAACAAAACTTATGTTTCATATGCATTATGGACTACCTCTACTGCTTTGCTGAGAACACTGGAGACATTCATTAGCTACTCCTCATGCCACACCTTTAAATATTTTATCATAGCCCTGCTTTCAAAGGTATAAGCAGAGAATTCAGTTCCACAAACACAGTTTACTGTAGATAGAAAAAAAAAAATCAACCAAAAGAGCTAACTACTGCTTTCCCCATTGCTCAGGTTTCACCCTTCCACCGCTTCTTGTGGTGAACGACTCATTCCTTCATGGAAATGAATGTGGCTCTTGCAACCTTCTGCTTGAAAAGAATAAAAAAGCAGAAATATAATAGACACTTACTGCAGTCCCAGAAAGGCATATTGATTTAATGGGAGGAGCAGAGAAAGAAACAAACATCGGCTTTCAAATTTTTAAAACGCAAAACATCAGAGATGTTTGTACATTAATGACAAAGAGAATAGGATAATTATGCCCAGAGGGCATAAAATCAGGTGTTGGCTGATATTCTGAAGCTCTCTCTGAACTAGAATTTGGAGAATCAATTTTCTGGTGTTATAAAACAATGTAAGTATGTCTCATCCTTGATCCATGAATACACCTACTCCAATCAAAGTGAGTGATCAATTGCCATTTCCAAGGCGGCTTCTTTAGAAGAAGCAAGGATTGTCATGCTGTCTTCAGCATGACTTGCATAATAAAAATTTTGCCAAGTGACATCAAATAGATATTTACATTCTCCATTCTGATAACTAATTTGTTTAAGTTAAGAAGCAGCTCCATCAAACTGGATCTGTCTCAGGTCAGTGACTTACTGGAAAAGACTTCATGGCAGTAATAAAACAAATATACCATTAAGACACTGTCCTGTTCAAATAGCTGAGCTGAGGCATAAATGTTTTTGCAGCCATGGATAACTCTCTGTAAGAGAGATGTCAGCTTTTAAGCTTTAACTTGTCTCTGTACCCATAGCAAAGATTAGGTCTCTCATCATGTAAAATACTTGCATTTAATGTTTTACTTGCACAGAATTAGCCAGGCAGTTATTGTGGTAAACTTTCATAGGTGACACACTTATTTTCTAGAGCACTCCTTCCAGTATTTGGGGAAAGCAGTAGGAAGAACATTTTGTATCTGAGGATAAGCCACTAAGGTAGTAAATATTTAACAAGGATTTCCATTTGAAACCAAGGCCTGTGTACAAAGCAAGCCCCTCTAACCTTTTGTATCATAAATACAAAATGGAACTGGCACCAAATATTAACAGTTCTAAGCAGGTATTTCGCATCCTATTCATCAGCATGTTTCATTGTTTAAAAGAACATTTTAGATGGAAGAACCCTCCCGTGTCTCGCCCTGCTTCTCTGGACATCTCCCAAAAGACGTTTGCTGGGGGGAGGAACATTCCCAATGGCAAGCAACCACGTAAGAGAGCACAGAGACTTACCTGCTTCAGGTTACTCTCTTGAAAAACAAACAAACAAAAAAAAAAAAAAAAAAAAAAGCAAACAAACAAACCCAAACAAAACAAAACAAAAAAAACAACCAACACACAACAACACAGAACTATAAATACACAATACAAACATTAGGATGAATATAAACAGTTCTTGGAAGTTGGCTGAATAGAGAAAGTAGTTCTTTCCCCTCCTCTCTCAAGTCCCTAACCATAAAGATACAGCAAACCTCAAAAGAGAAGAACAGACCATTTCTTCTCTGGCTCTCTTTCAACCAAGTGATGTCTTTGATAATCCGCTGTTGTTTCTGGAGATCAGCAATAACAGACAAAGGAACTATTCCCCTTATTCATCTTACAGTATCATCTTGCCTGACCTTCTAGTTTTTTCAAGAGCAGATGTTTGTTTACATGCCATAATTGCTCATGTTAAGGCTGCAATTTTCCACTCAAAATTTGCCCTAAATACC